GGTTCTCAATCTTGGCTGCACATTAGAATCACCTGGGAATCTTTTTTAAATCCTGATTTCTGGGCCTCATCCTCCGGAAATTCTGTTTCTTTGTTATGGGGTGGGGCCACAACATTAGTAACAAAGAAACAGAATTTCCGGAGGATGAGGCCCAGAAATCAGGATTTTAAAAAGATTCCCAGGTGATTCTAATGTGCAGCCAAGGTTGAGAACCACTGGGCTAGGGCATGATCTAGTTTTTAATGTATGTAGTCTCACCTGGAGCTTATAAGAATCACACATGGACAGCCTTCTGGCCAAATTCGGCTTCAAGATTTTCTCTTTTTGTATTTTTACTTCTAAAATTTATTTGTGTTTGGTTTGTTTTTTTGTGCTCTGATTCATTTTTTTTTTTTTCAATTGAGCTCAGTCATTCATTCAGTAGATATTTATTGAGTATCTGCTGTGGATCAGACTGTTTTAGATGCTGGGATACAGCAGTGAACAAAACAATGTTCACTGCCCTCACAGAGCTGCCTTCTAGCAGGAGGTGGCAGAAGAAAAAACATAATCAATAAGGAGAGTATGTGTGGATGGGTGACATGGGCTGTGGGAAGTAGAAATTAGAACAAGGAAAGAGAGAACGGGGATCAGGAGTGCTGGAGGAAAGGCAGGCTGCAGAATTAAATAGGGAAGGCCTCAGAGAGAAAGTCACGTTCGAGTGAAGACTTTAAGGAGGTGAAAGAGTTGGCTACATGGGCATTAGGGGAAAGTGTTCCAGGCCAAGGGAATAGCCAGTGCAAAGTCCCTGAGGTGAGGTCGTGCCTGGTGAATCTGAGGACGCTGGAGGGGAGGGGTTGACGGGGAGAGAACAAAGAGGAAGGTAACCTGGGCCCATTCTGTCCAACTTTAAAGAGGAGTTTGGCTTTTCCTTTACGTGAAACAGGACGTTGTAAGCTCTTTTGCAGGGATATGGTACTATCTGCCCTATCTTTTGGTACTGTGAGAGTGAAGAGTTTGCTGCCAGATTAAGAACAGATGGGTGAGGGTGCCAAGGGCAGAAGTAAGTGTAAAATAGGAGGCTGTGGCAATAATGCAGGCGAGTAACACTGACGGCAGTGGAGATTAGAAATGGTCAGATTCTAGAAACAATTTGAAGTGTTAACACTTAAAAACTGGGAAATCTAACTTGTCTTAGAGTTGGCAACACTGGGCCCATGTTCCTATGGGGCAAGAGCCAGCTGATTTCTGGCTATGTCCACTCACCTGACAGATTTCCACAGTGCTTAGTAGACCCACTCCAAGGTCCTCATTTAGCTTTGAGGACACTTGGGTTTACCATTCCTGAATTGATCTCCCAGTGTACACTCTGTACTCCTCCCTGTGTTTTTCCCACTGCCCCCAAGTGATTTAACTTAATTTATTTTTTAAATTTTTATTGATTTTAGAGAGAGAGAGGAAAAGAAAGAGAGGGAGAGAGACATCGATTTGTGGTTCCACTCATTTTAAAAAAAATATTTTTTATTGATTTCAGAGAGGAAGGGGGGGAGAGAGAGAGAGAGAGAGAGAGAAACATCAATGATTAGAGAGAACCATTGATCAGCTGCTTCCTGCATGTGCCTCACTGGGGACCAAGCCTGCAACTCGGGCATGTCAAACTGTGACCTCCTGGTTCATAGGTTGATGCTCAACCATTGAGCCACCGTTGCTAGGACACTCATTTTTTAAAATTGATTTTTAGAGAGAGAGGAAGGTAGAGGGAGAGAGAGAGAGAGAAACATCGATGTGAGAGCAAAGCATTGATTGGCTGCCTCCTGCACCCCCACTACTGGGCATTGAGTCCTGACCAGGAATAAAACTGGCAACCTTTTGGTGCACTGGACGATGCCTAACCAACGGAGCCATGCCAGCTAGGGCTGTTGTTCTACTTATTTTTCATTTAGTTTTTTTAATTTTTGAAAAATGCTACCGTTACAAGAACACAGAAAAAAAAACCATCAAAAAAATTTTAGGTTTCTTGAGAACTTGTGTTGTCTTACTTCTAACAAGAAATCAAAATGCATTATAACATGTGATTTTTTTCTTTTTGAGTGTTCTTGTTCCACTTATTTATGCATTCATTGGTTGATTCTTGTATGTGCCCTGACCAGGGATTGAACCCACAATCTTAGACACAATTCTAACCAACTGAGCTACCCAGACAGGTTCCGAGTGATTTAATTTTAAAGGATAAATCAACTACCTACACTACTTAAATGTTTGTTTCTCTCAGGATAAAGAGAAAACTTACTATGGCCTTACCTGCTACCCTACATCCCCTACATCCTTTGCCCACACATTCTCTGCTCAGATTTTTCTCTGTTCCTTTACTCCCCACCCCCTGTCCCTCCTCAGGGTCTTTGCTGATCCCTCTGCCTGGGATGCAACTCCTCTCCCCTCTTGACCACACTGATTCCTCATCCTTCAGATCCCACGATTATCTCTTGTCAGGGTCAAAGTTTGACCCTTGCTTTGTGATTATATTTCCCTCTCTGATTAGATCATAAACCTCATGAGGGCAGCAAGCAGATCTTTTCCCCCCAGAATTGTATTCCCAGATCCAGCACACAGTAGGCACTAACTCCCTCATTCATTTATTTCTCCTCATGTTCACTCCAAAAAAAAAAAATATTTATTGAGCACCTACTCTTTGTCAGACCCTGTTCTGGGCCCTAAGGATGAACAAGTCAGTTGTAGATACCACTCTCTGGTACCTTCCACTGCGATGGGGTGGGAGTGGGGAACATAATAAACAAGCATATTCAAGTCAGGTGGCAATAAGACCTATGAAGGAAAAAAAAAGTAGGATAAGGGGACAGATGTGATGGGCATTCTTTTATGTAGGGTGTTCGGGGAAAGACTCTCTGAGGAAGTGGCATGAAGTTAAGGCCTGAATCAAGGATGCCAGCAGCCCTCAGGACATGGATGTTAGAGGCCCTGACCTTGTGTGGTTTAGTTTTGCATGCCCATTGGGTGAATGCCCTCCAAATGGCTGGGCCTGCGCTCATGGTAATTCTCTAATTTTGTGCAGCCTCCGGGAGAAGCTACGGGCCATCCTGAAGGCCACGTACACCCACTCTTCTAACCTGGCCTGCTTCGTGTTCACCTACAAGGGCCTCTGTGCCCTGCAGTCCCACCTGCAGGGAGAGACCCACCCGGTGCACTCGTTCCTGGCTGGCTTCATCGGGGGCTTGCTGGTGTTTAGAGAGAACAATAACATCAACAGCCAGGTAAAGATCCTCCCCAGGAATGTGTGTAGGGGCTGGCTGGGTTTGGGGTGGGATATGGCTCAGGTATGAGTTGGGGGTCGGGGGGGTCAAAGAAGATGAGCTCTTGGCTCCCTTCCAAGTCTGAGGATCTGTGAGTCACCAGTCCCTCTGTGATCTTGGGAAGGTCACCTCCCCCTCAGTTTCCTCGTCTGTAAATCAAGCAGCTTATTGGAATTTTATGATTCCCAAAATCAATGTGTACTGCTCTCTGGGGGCAAAGATGTTTTTATTTTTTTAAAGAAAATCATTGCAGTGAAATGAGAAAAAAGAAAAATGACCCTGGGATATGATTTTCATAAAACAATATTTATTAAAGAATTGCCTCTTATTCTGTAACTTGCCCTTTTCTGGGTTAAAGTTCTATTTATTTTTTACTTTTATTGATTTCAGAGAGAGGAAGGGGTGGGGGAGAGAGAAAGAGAAACATTAATCAGTTGCCTCTCGCACGCTCCCCAAACCAGGGATCAAATCTGCAACCTGGGCATGTACCCAGACCGGGAATTGAGCTTGCCACCTTTTTAAAAAAAATCAAATTTCTATTTTATTTATTTTTAAATATGTTTTTATTGATTTTGAGGGAGAGAGGAAGGGAGAGGAATAGAGAGATAGAAACATCGATGAAAGAGAAACATCATTGGTCGGCTGCCTCCTGCATACCCTCTACAGGGGATCGAGCCTGCAACCCAGGCATGTGCCCTGACCAGGAATTGAATTGGTGACCTCTTGGTTCGTGGGTCAGTGCTCTAACCGCTGAGAACACAGGCCATGGCTTATTAAATATTTTTAAATTATAAAAACAGTTTTATTTTCACATTTTAAAAAATGCAGATTAAACAGCCTCTATGTGCCTGGCATATGTCTAGGTGCTTGGGATACATGATAATAAAGTAGAAAATAAATTGAAAAGAAAGTTTCCATCCTCCTCCAATTGTCAAGCCACTGTTCTGGGACAGTCATTTTAATTGTGTCTTGTGTAGCCCTTCAGAAATTGTCGGTGCTTGTTTCAGTGTACATATCAGGAGTTTTCCACCAATGAGATTGTACTGCTTTTTTTTTTTTTTTTCCCATGGGATGATGTATCTTGGAGACCCTTCTTGTCAGTCCTTCAGCCTTTTTAATATCAGAGCCCTCCACTGCTGGGTGGATGGATGGACCAGGCTTGATTTTACTAATCTCCTCTCAATGGGCATTTAGGGGGTCTGTAGCCTTTTGCCATTACACACATGCAGTCTACATCTTTGTTTGGACGTCTTCCTGCATATGTGTCAGTCCAAAAGTTCCTAGACATGGAATTATGGAGTCTGTGCATGTGAGCCTCTTGTGTTTTGAGAAAATTTTCTTGGTTTTATATTTGTTAGAAATTTCACATCCAAAGGCTAAGAATCCTGGTCACACCATCTCCTTCCCCCTCCCCTCTTTTCCTTGACCCCTGGCAATAATTATTCTGACCTCCATTTCTAAAATCTTCTCATTTCAACAGTGTTATATAAGTAGAGTCATTACAGTATGCAGGCTTTGGGGTTGGCTTTTTTCACTCGGCATAATTCACTGGAGATTCATCCAAGTTGTTGAGTCTGTCAGTAGTTCATTTATTTTTATTGCTGAGTGGTGTTCCATTGCATGGATGTACCACACATTTATCCCCAGAAGGACATGGGAGTTGTTTCCAACTTTTGGCTGTTAGGAATACAGCTGCTACACGTTTTTGAGTGAGCATTAGTTTTCATTTCTCTGGGATAAATGCCCAAGAGTACAGTTGCTGGGTCAAATGGTACATGCACGTTTAGTTTTATAAGAAACTCGCAAACTGTTTTCCACAGTGACTGTACTCTTTTACATTCCCATCAGGAATATATGCAGGTGACTCAGTTCCTCTGCATCCTAGCCAGTATTTGGTTTATCATATATATTTTTTAATTTTAGCCATTTTGATAGGTGTGAAGTGCCATCTCATTTGTGATTTTAAATTTGCATTTCCCTGATGTCTAATGATGTTAAACAGCCTTACATGTGCTTATTTTCCATCTGTATAACCTGTTTGGTGAAGTATCTGTTCATGTCTTTTGACCATTTACTAATTGGATTTTTTTTTTTTTTACTGTTGAGTTTTGAGTTTTTAAAAAATATATTCCAGATAGTAGTCTTTATCAGATTTTTTTTTTTGTAAATACTTTCTCCCAGTCTATAGCTTTTCTTTTTGGCCTCTTCACATGGGCTTTCATAACAAAAAATAATAATTACTTTTGATGAGATCCAGTTTATCAAAAATTTTTTATGGATTTTTTTGGTGTCAAGTTACTTTTTAGTTTTGAACCATCTAAGTATATTAATTAAAAATTTTAAAAATAAATAATGATAAATTAAAGATATAAAATAGTACTATTTAAAATGTCTGTACTACCAAGGCAATCTACAGATTCAGTGAAATCCCTATTAAAATACCAATGGCATATTTCACAGAGTTAGAACAAATACTCCAAAAATTTATATGGAATCAAAAAAACCAGAAATAGCTGCAGCAATTTTGAGAAAGAAAAATAAAGTTGGAGGTATCACAATACCAAATTTCAAGTTATACTACAAAGCCACCGTAATCAAAACAGCCTGGTATTGGCACAAGAACAGGCATATATCAATGGAACAGAACAGAGAACCCAGAAATCGACCCATGCCATTACGCTCAATTAATATTTGACAAAGGAGGCACGAGCATACAATGGAGTCAAGAGAGTGGTGTTGGGAAAATTGGACAGATACATGCAAAAAATGAAACTAGACCACCAACTTATACCATACACAGGATGAACTCAAAATGGATAAAAGACTTTTAAATGTAAGTTGTAAAACCATAAAAATCCTAGAAGAAATCATAGGCAGCAAAATCTCAGACATCAACAAATCAATAAATGACAAGTGCTGGCGAGGATGTGGAGAAAAGGGAACCCTAGTACACTGTTGGTGGGAATGCAGACTGGTGCAGCCATTATGGAAAACAGTATGGAGTTTCCTCAAAAAATTAAATCTGGAACTGCCATTTGACCCAGTGGATTCCACTTCTAGGAATATATCCTAAAAAACCCGAAACACCAATCATAAAGAATGTATGCACCCCTATGCTCATAGCGGCACAATTTACAATAGCTAAGATCTGGAAACAGCCCAAGTGCCCATCAGTAGATGAGTGGATAAACAAGTTGTGGTACATTTATACCATGGAATACTATGCAGCTGTGAAAAAAAGAAGAATCTCTTACCCTTTGAGACAGCATGGAGGGACCTGGAGAGTGTCATGCTAAGTGAAATAAGTCAGTCAGAGGAAGTATCACATGATCACACTCATATGGAATCTAAGTAACAAAATAAACTGATGAATGGAGTGGATCCAAAGACATGGAAGCATGGAACAGAGTGCAGAATCTCAGAGGGAGGATGGGTGGGTGGGAGGTAATCAACCAAAGACCTTATATACATACTAGAGGCCCAATGCACGAAATTTCTGCAAGAGTAGGCCTTCCTTCCCCTGGCTGCCAGCACCGGCTCCCCTCTGGCACCTGGGACCCGGGCTTCCCTCGCAGCCCCGGCTTCGTCTGGAAGGTCGTCCGGAAGGATGTCCGGTCTAATTAGCATATTACGCTTTTATTATTATAGATATGCATAACCCATGGACACAGACAATAGGGTGCTAAAGACTGGGGGTGGCGGGGGGGGTAGGCTGGAGGGGGTCAATGGGGGGAAAAGGGGAACATATGTAATACTTTCAGCAATAAAGAATTATTTTTAAAAAATAAATAAAAGTGGGGTAACAACCTTAAAAAAATAAATAATATAGTACTATTAAAATGTCTGATACCACTTCATCTTGCACACCAACTTTGAAAAACACTGATCCATGCATGGGGGTGGGCAGAAGGTTCCCAGTGGCTGTGCACACCTGTAATCCCCTGTCATTCCCTCCCTGCAGATCAACATGTACCTGCTGTCACGCGTCCTATTTGCCCTGTGCCGCCTGGGAGTGGAGAAGGGCTACATTCCCGAACCCAAGTGGGACCCATTCCCATTGTTCACCGCGTTAGTGTGGGGGCTGGTGCTGTGGCTCTTTGAATACCACCGGCCCACGCTGCAGCCCTCACTGCAGTCCTCTATGACCTACCTGTACGAGGACAGCAATGTGTGGCATGACATCTCGGACTTCCTCATCTACAACAAGAGCCGTCCCTCAGAGTAACACAGCCCTGAGGTGCTTATGGGGGCTTCTACCTGAGTAGGCTCTGGGCGGTGTCCAGTTGTGGCTTGAGATTGGCTCCATCAGTGAAACCTCCCAGAGGATCCTGCTTTCTCAAGATCATGGCTCTCAGACTCCAACTTTCATTAACCCAGGGTTCCATTGTCCAAAGCAGAAGCACCAATTTTCCAGTCTCATTAGGTACTCTTGAATGGTGGAATAAGAGGCTGAGTCAGGCTGAGGAACCTAAGGCATGGTTCCAGCGTATTGCTCACTTCTGTGAGACCTGGGAAAGTCACCCTCCTCTCTAGGCCTCAGGGGTCATGGAGCTCAGAGGAGGGCCCTGAAATCTCTTTCTGGTGGGTATGTTCTTTGACTGTTCTTATGCTGGTGGGCAGTGGGTTTGCAAATATGTTTTTACAAAATATTAAGTTCCTTTTCTCGAGTGTTCTATTGGAGAAGCTCTAGAGTTTCACTGTCCAATAGAAACATAATGACAGTCATATATGTAATTGAAATTTTTCTAGTAGCCACATTAAAAAAAAAGTGGGAAGAAGCAGATGAGATTAATCTTGATATATTTTAGCCCAAATTTCTAAAATATTATCATTTCAACCTGTAATTACTATGAAAATAAGGTCTTTTATATTCTTTTTTTTTATGCGGAGTCATCAAAATCAAGTATGTGTTTTACATTTACAGCACGCCTCAATTTAGACCAGTCACATTTCAAGGCTCAGTAAGTAGCCACATGTGGCTAGTCGTGGCTGTATTGGACTGTACAGATATAGAACACTTCTATCATCACAGAAAATTCTAGTGGGCATTGCAGATAAAGAGCCAGAGGACATGGGTTGGAGTCCCCACTCCATCACTGTGTAATTTTTTTTTTAAATATATTTTATTGATTTTTTACAGAGAGGAAGGGAGAGAGATAGAGAGTTAGAAACATCGATGAGAGAGAAACATCGATCAGCCGCCTCCTGCACATCTCCTACTGGGGATGTGCCCGCAACCCAGGTACATGCCCTTGACCGGAATCGAACCTGGGACCCTTCAGTCCGCAGGCTGACGCTCTATCCACTGAGCCAAACCGGTTTTGGAAATCACTGTGTAATTTTGAGGAAGGTTCGTGACCTCCCAGAGCCTCAGTTTCTTGTAAAATGAGAATAATTGTAATAATACCCGGTGTCCATGTTGGACTTGAATAACTACAACTGCTGCTACCCACACTAATCATTTAATGAGCTCCTACTTCCTCCTGGGTGCTTTGCACACACTTTTTAAATCCGTACAATGACCTTACAGGTCTGTATTTTGATTTTCATTCTACAGATGTGGAAACAGAATCAGAGAAGGGAAGTAACTTGCCCAAGATATACAGTTAGTATGGTAGCCCTATCAGGGTTTGAACCCAGATTTATCTGATTTCAAAGCCTATGTGTTTTTAAGTGCCTTACTTTAAATTTAGGAACCTAAGCTAAGCTATGCAAATGTTAGCTAGTTCTAGGGTCTGTTTCAGAAGGGGACACAAACTCAAATGCCTACAGGGGCCTGACGGTGGCATAAATGATCATGTTCTGGGTGCTATGTAGTAGGGACTGATGGGGACGTGGTGAACTGGAGACTCCTGTGCCAGTCCGATATTTTAAAACCAAGCTGGACAAACCAATCAGGTCTCCAGGAAGATTTGGTCCCTGACCCACTAATTGGAGTCCCTTGGCCTAATAGGAATATCTCAGTCTCTTTATATTTTAGAACTTACTAGTAGAAATGTACACATGAGTCACTGGAGATCTTATTAAAATGCAAATTCTGATTCAGTGGGTTTGGGGTGGGGCCTGAATATTCTGCCTGTCTCTCAGACGCCCAGGTGCTGCTGCTGCTGCTGCTGCTCTGAGCCACACCTTGAGTAGCAGAGTAGTAGGGGATGATATGGGGCCAACTGCTATCCCATGTGACACATGTGGAAACTGAACTAAACAGAGCTGAGCTGTTAGGTAACAGCAGGGGTTAGGTCTGATTCTAACAGCTGTGTTCTCAGCCACGATGTTGCACTGCCAACCTGGAGAAAGTGATCTTGAAGGTCCCTTAGTTCATTCTGTGGAGGATGAATGAGATCCTAAGGTTATGGGAGAGGAGGGGGTCATCATCAGCAAGTGGGTTTTATGGCAGATGTAGGGGGCCCTGCCCATATCTCTTCTAGTTTACCATGTTAGTGCACACCAGCAGCTTTTCCAACAGCCACCCCTTGTGTCTTTCTGCCTGAGGGCATCACTTGCCACTGGCACCTGCTTTGCCACCCTGCAGCAGACCTGCAGTGCTGGGGGATTAACGCATCCAGGGCACAGCTCTCAATGCCTGATAAATAGCCCCACTCCCACTCCCCTCGCCCAGTAGGCATGCTGCACTCTGGCTCTCAGGGCCCCCCGGCAGGACTGAGCTCCTCTTGTCCACCGTGGTCACTTGCTCAATAACACCTCCTTTCCTGCCTCCCTTCCTCATGCCCCTACCAGTGCTTCCTGGGACCACTTCCGATGTAGCCCACTTGCACTCAAATTCTTGTCTTGGGGTCTGCTGTCGGAGAACCCAAACGAAAATTGGCCTCTGGTATAGCAGGTTGAGAGGTAGTATAACATGGTGGTTGGGGACATAGGCTTTGTAGCCAATGTCTGGGCTCAGCTCTGGTTCTGTTGTTTCCTAGGGCAAGTGACTTAACTATTCTGTACCTGTGTTTCATCATCTGTAAAGAAGGTGTTCTATAGGGTGATCTGGAGGATTAAATATGACACATAAAGTAAGCACTCGGTAAATGTTTGCTGTTATTTCTAATAGTATTCAAACATAGAAGGAAGTGTGGTCCTGAGAACTGAGTAGACCCTGCTTTCAGCCTGTCCTGCCCGCCAGCTGAAGGTAAAGCCTTGGCTGCCTGCCCTCCCCACATCCCCCCACTGCCACTGGGGGTTGGCCAGCTCCGCCACCGACTGTCTCTGCTCTCTAAGAATAGGTTTCCCTGACAGATGGCATCTCTCTGGATCCTGCCAGAGCATCTGGTGCCTCCAACTGCTCACTCCAGGGAGGAAGGCGGTGTGGACCTTGCTGAGGAGCAGAGTGCTGGCTTCCAGCAGACCTGAAAGGAGTCCCCACTCGGCTCCTTCCTAAGATCAGTCAAACGGGCATTGCCAAAGGGCCCTTGGCACACAGTAGGCACTCCATAAATGCTGGTTCCTTAAACAGCACAGTGGTTTAGCATGTTTGCTTATTAAGCATCCGCCACATTCCTACAAAACCTTCTGGGACTGTAAATAATAACTTAATTTTAAAAATATTTTTTATTTAACTAATAAAGAATTTAAAGATTTAAAATATATATATTTTTTATTGATTTGAGAGAGAGAGAGAGAGAGAGAGAGAGAGCAAGAGCAATAGAGAGAGAGAGACAGACAGACGGACAGACATCGACGTGAGAGTGTAACATCGATCAGCTGCCTCTGAGCCCGCAATCTGAGCATGTGTCCTGACTGGGAATCAAACCAACTACCTTTTGGTGCACTGGACGATGCCCAACCAACTAAGCCACACCAGCCAGGGTTGTAGACAATAACTTTTAAATTAATAATATGTACACATAGTACAAAATTTAAATGGTATAAAAGTTGTGTAATAGAAAAGTCAGGTTCCATCCTACAACCCAAGCTCCTCCCCTCTTGCCAGGGCCACTCACTGTTAGCACTTTCCAGTACTGCCTTCCAGAGATATTCCATGCACAGCCCCCTATCCTTGTCTCATAAGAACCTATTACATTACACTGTCATCTCAACAACTTTGGCATTTCCTCTCTGTCCTCTGCATTGTTAGTTTCTCTTTGATTAATAATCTGATATGCGTTCTTTCTTTGAGCTGGTTCCCTCAACTCAATCCCTTCCCACCCCCCCCCCAAAAAAACAGATTCTTACTGTAATGAGCATGAAGATGAACCAACCTAGATATCCTGAGCCTTATCAGAGAAAACACCCAACATTCAGGCTCACGGAACACCAAGTGAAAGAGGAAGGACAAAGCTGAAGGTCATTTGGGGCCCTTCTGCTGCTCTGCTCCCAAATTAGAGATCTTTCAGTGAACCTATATGAGAGCAATGATTCACAGGCTGAGATGCCAAGAAATTGCCTCATGATGCTCGCTGCTCCCACCTTCCACAGGCTCTAGAAAGGATCCAGGAGGTGGTGTTTCTCTCTATATTGTTCACTTCTCCCACTCCCACGAGTGCATTTTGGGTTTATAAGAATCAGGCTTTAAACTTAAACCAGAACATTGTGCTGTGCTCCACTTCCTGGAACGAACCCCACCTGTCCACAATCTGTGACTTCAGATAGGTTTCTTGTTTTAATGGATTAGAGAGTATTTATTAAAAAAAAAAAAAGTCATCCCCCCCCCCCCTTGTCTAGTTCCAGATTCATAGGAAGAGAGTGTGTCTTGCTTCAGCCTTAAAGAGCATTTTGGGTGAGAAGTTTAGTTTTAACCAAAAAGTGTCCTGAAGGACTCACTCTTGTGAGCTGGAGGCCACATGGTCAGGCAGAGGACAGAGGGAAAGCTGGGTGTTCTTCTGAGTATTATTTTTAATTGAGTTTAGAGAGAGGAAGGGGAGAGAGAGAGAGATCTGTTGTTCCACTCAGTTATGCATTCATTGATTGATTCTTGTACGTGTCCTGACCAACCCCACAACCTTGGTGTATCAGGATGACGCTCTAACCAACTGAGCTATGTGGCCAGGGCTCTATTGTTTTTAGAGAGGGCTTTCTAACGGAGGGCTCCCCATTTTCTGTACAGGTCTCTGCTCAAAGCTGCTGCAGAAATCACGATTTTATACATAAGACAGGAAATAGAGGCTATGGGGTCTCTTTTGGAAACCTTGTTCTCACTGCTCTTCCGGGCTTCTCCCTTCAGCCTCTGTTCGTGGGCTGCATGTCAGCTGAGAGAAGGGTCAGGGACAGACCTCATCAGCTCTTTTAGGTTACCTTTTATGTGTGTCATGAACCCCTTTGGCATCTGGTGAAACCTATGGACCCTTCTCTTAATGCTGTTTTTAAAACCTATAAAACAAAGTACATAGGATTTTAAAAAGGACAACAATTACATTGAATTTTGAAATAATAATCAAAATAGTTTTAAATATATTTTTATTGATTTCAGAGAAGAAGGGAGAGGGAGAGAGAGATAGAAACATCAATGATGAGAGAGAATCATTGATTGGCTGCTTCCTGCATGCTCCACACTGGGGATCAAGCCCACAACCTGGGTATATGCCCTGACCTGGGAATCAAACCGGTGACCTCTTGGTTCCTGGGT